AGATAGATAGATAGATAGATAGATAGATAGATAGATAGATAGATAGAGAGATAGAGAGAGAGATAGAGAGAGAGAGAGAGAGAGGCGGTGGGGGGGAGTTTGCCGACTGCCTACAGGGCACGAGGTGTGCCAATTTTGCAGTTCCTTTTTCTGCAGACACTGTATGTACACAAAGGATCCATTCCCAGTATTTGATCTATCTCCGTTGGTCACTGTTTGCAAGGAGCTTGGGACCGAAGACGAGCTTCAACCCACAGGAGTCCTTCGATGGAACGTAGTCCGGATGGGACAGTCACGAATGGAAGATTCAATGAATAAGGGATCGGTAAGAGTAAGATTCAGTGTGGAAAGGAACTGACCCATGGATTTTCTCTGGCAACAAGAATCCACCCGTGCCCCAAATCAATGGACGACCTTCATGGATTTCTGTGAGTTTCGGAGTTTCCAGGATGTGGACCTGTTTGATACCTTGAAACGGGGCCTTTTGTCAAGCTGCTGAGATGTTTTTCTTTCGGTGCCAGGAAACCAACATTTGTTTGTTGAAACAGTTAGAGAACCAGGAGTATACTACCAGTTTCTATGTCAATCATCACGAAGGCATACACACAGTAGCAAGAAAGCACACTCTGCTCAGACTCCGTGACTCAGCAAATTAGTTGGAGTGCCTCTGGAGTTGTTAAGCCACAACCAGGTAGATCACGATCCTCTCAGTGAAAGGCATCCCTAGTTGCATGGTGCCGTTTTGAATGTTTGTGGCCAACATGGCTGATGATGCGTCAAGTCATTTGCCAAGTCATTTTCATGTGCCTCTGCATGGGTGGAGTGGTTGTGGAAGGCGATATTCCTTGCACTGCTATTCTTTTCAACTGCAGATCTTCCCTGTATTCGTCGGACTGGAAGAGAGCCCGCTCGGAGCACTTAGCACATCTGACCTCTCGTGAAGAGGGCACTCTGCGTCTTCTTCCCCCCGGTTGAAGATGACTGGAATAAGTGGTTTTAGAGTGGTCATTGCTTTTTGGTTGGAGGCCATCTGGGCTCAAGATCGTATCTCGAAATCGACCTGTCAACTCACGTGGACATTGCTCGATGATTCTTGTGAAGTTTATGTATCCGGTCGGAACTCTCGACAAGACCTGTTCAAAGACCTTAAAGTAAGAAAGTGATACATTTTTCACTGAAAAGCCCACACAACTGTCACCACACTGGGGTATCACGCCTGGCTCTTCGCTTCATTCTGATCCACCGGCTGCAAAAGAACTCCATGAGCTGCCAGCCGCCGGCCGAGCAGCCGAGCTGCGTGCACGCTCGGGATGAGCCGAGTTGGGTCGAGGTGTGTGTTTGGCCCACGTTGGTGAAGATGTAGAACCCTCACCTTCTCATCGAGCTGTGTTTTGGGCTCATGTGAAGGTTGCTAGCACCGAAGTTGTAGAAGTTCCGAAGATTCATTCAAACGGGAGGATCGTCAACTCGATCCAAAGCCCTTGGGAGGTGGGTTGTGCTGTACATGAAACCTTGGTTTGCCTGATTTAGAGTGGACGTTGAGGCCACCGGTGCTGTGCGGATTCCTGACATCAAACGTCCGCATGGCGATCGGAATAGGTCTTTAGGTCTAATAGGTCTATATGCTTTTCTGGCTGCAAGGATCGAATTTGGGTGCCAGAACGGTCGGCATGTCGACCGCCGAACTGTGCAGTGCAGCGGAACGCTGAACTTCGGAACTGCAGGTCCATCCGGGCCCTTTCGGGATCCAACACAAGACGGCCAACTGTCGAACTGAAGGTGTTTCATCACATGGGACCCATGTGATCCCACCGCAGCTCTGTCAGGTCCAAGCTCCGTCAGCCTCGTGATGCGCCCGAAAGGAGCCAAGCTCCTGGGTTGTTGGCCAGTCGTTGGAGTCGAGTCGTTGCAACACACGCTTTGGAACGGAGTCGTTGGGTTTCGTGGGAACAGGTATGTGGGTGGCTTTATGTGGCTTTTGCTGGTGCAAAGAGCTCGAACTTCAAACCATTTTGCTACATCTATCATCTATCATTTGAATGGTTTTCTATATTTATAGGGAACTGATCCGGTTCCATCAGCTGCCAGATTCCTTGAACAATTAGCCTGGATCGAGCGAAGAGCGCCTGACACTAGTCCGAAATTGGACCTACCAAGTCATGACTGCCATTGCATGGACGTGCGTGGACATCAACTATCGATCCTGTAAACTGCACCTATACGTCCATTCAGCACGGTCCAAGGCATGCCCAGGCCTTAGCTCGGAAAGGCACACTTGAGTTACGGCTCCCTTACCTTACTTGAGTCCAAGAACAATCCAACGAGCTTGGCTTGTGAGTTAATGCTTCCAGATCATAGCGATTTTCACTCCATGGGAGTCTGCAGAGACAAAGTCCCTGGCCGCAGCGATCGGGCTCAGAGATCGTGCTGGTCGGTCGGTGCAGGGACTTGAGGAGAAACATGTCGTTCTTTCCGTGCTTGAAGGTGAAGAATGAGAAGTGGTGGCTCTTCTCCTGGGTTGTGGTCACGGCATTGTATGCCTTACCAACCCTGTTCTACGCGAGGAGGATCTATGAAGTGTGGCACGCTGATGTGGCTTTGAATGCACATGGAAGAGCAATTTGCGTGGATGGTAGTCATTTGATGGAAACACTTTACGTAATTAAGTCCCAGTGGCAGGTACTTCCAACTGCTTTTCGAGCTCTCCCCAGCATTCGTGAAATGTATTTTTTGTTTGGTCTTTGGAGTCTTCTTCGTGCCCTCCTGCCACACCGTCTCGGTCCTCCGTCGTTGTTTGAGGCTCCCCTGTTGCAGACCTCGCAGAGCGACGACTGGGGTCGCGTCCCGGAGCTCTGGTTCTGCAGCGTGGAGCCTTTGAACATTGAGACCTGCGTGCTCCAATCCTTCCGGACGGTGGATGGATCCGAACTGAATGGTTCGAAGGGTGAGAGCCTTTGCCAGATCATTTCACCTCCAAAAAAGCATGAACAACAAAAGATCCAACTAGGCACAGGAAAGGGATTCGGGGATAAGCTTGATGAGCCCAAAGGGCAATTTGAGATATTGCCTCCTCAGTTCAAAGATCAGTTCGAAGACTCCTACTGTCAAGCCATCAATGCTACAGCCTTGAAGCCAAGCTCACCATCCCGTCTGTTTCTTGGGGGAGACGCCAGCAAGAGCTTTGGCCTTTACTATGTGATGCGTGACCATTGCGCAGACACTTGCCACCATCCCATCTTTCTCACGCGCGCTTTCCCAGGCATCGCAGAGCTTTTGCTCACAAAAGTACGAAAGGGGTCGATGCAGATGTCAGCGGATCCCTATGCGCCTGGCCGATCTTTCATCTCTTCATTTAACGCATTCGTTTCTCCCGAGCTTTATGACGCCTTCAGCACTCAGCTGCTGTTTGTCAATAGCAGGGTCATTCCCACGCAGGATGGTGAGATGCAACTCGGACCTTTATTGAAGGCGAAGCAGATCGGTTGAAGGGTCGCTACTTCTTGAAACGGTGCCCCAGAATGAGGGGATGCTGGAATCCCTTCTTCCAAGTGCTGGGGGGTTCATATTTACTTCCCCTTTCACGACATTTGAGACCCACAAGTGAGTCTCTCAGCCCATGATCCCGATTCAGGTATTGGAGCCAAGTCTTTCCGAAGGTGCCAACGCCCTCGGCATGGGAGCTGATTGTTCGGCTTGATCCGCATGTGAGGGAGGAAGTTGAGGTCGGACGGCTGGCGCACTGCATCATTTTCCTCGCACGGCTGGGTGGGTATTTGCTCCTTGGCCATTGGTCAAAACATGTCAGAACCATAGACTACATCCTGTTTGTTGGGGGAGAGCCTTCATGTTAAGACACTGGCCGCTCCATACCATGACGAGGTTTAGTCGAAATAGTCTACTATAGTCTATTTCCCACTCTCTCTCATGCCTTGTGCTGATCTATGTGAGTAGCTGGCAAGTTGCATAATCAGAATCACTAGTGTAGTAATCACTGATAGCCTCCGACAACCTACCCTGCCGGCAGTTGATGACACCGCCGTCCACCGCTCAAAGCGCGGCACACCGGCCGTCCGTCGGAGTCCCGTCGTCCCGTCGTGAGCGGAGTGAGGTCAATCGTGAGCGGATTGCTGGCCTTCTGCTGGGTGCAACGCTACAAGGTAGACAAGCAAACTCATCTTGCTCAGACTTTGGAGGAACTCTTGAACGAGGAGACCTTTGTGCTTGACACCTTGTCTCCGCAGCACAATGACCACTTCGAACCCCTCACGGGGGACCTCGTCAGCATCAATTTGAAGAAGAAATTGGAAGGACGTAAAACGCCCTCCTTGAGGTCCTTCAAATTGACAGGGGCCGAAGCAGAGTCAGATCTGGAGAGTTCATCCATTGAGCCCGATTCAGCTTGGTGTCACTGTGTCCAGAGCGTCCGTGGTGCCCGCAGCCAATGAGATGGCTGGCGGTGTGTCAAGAGATTTTGGATCTTGCCATTTGAAACCCAGAATTCAGTTGCATGTTTCCAGCGCTTTAGTTTCCCTGCTTAGAGAATTGTCCAAAGTGCAATGTCTTCGCACTGTGAAACGCCGGTTTTGGATAGGCGTCCGTTGAAAGGGACCTTTGGACAATCGCTTTCACAGCATAGACAGCAGCTTGTTTGGTCTGCTCATGATGCTTAGATTTCTGCAAGGCATGCGGAACTTGTCTGTGCGGCGAGTGAATGGCAGCGGAGGTCAGGTGTTCCAGGCCATTCTTGTGGCAGAGTCCGAAGGACTTTGTAGATTTGGAGCAGGAGTCCCTGTATTCCCACTTTGGTGTGGGTTTTGGTCCACGACCAAGCGTGTTCTGACTTTCCCCCCTGGTCGTTGGAAATGCAGGGAGTCGTGGCTTTCGTGTGTTCACGGAGCAGGCAGCATGGCCTACGTCGGAAACCGACGAGCCGGCACGAGACGCTCGAAAGGACTGTGGTGCTGGCGGGTAGTTTCACAGCATAGGGAGGCAACCAGTTTGATTTCCTCGACACGTGATGCCGAATAGGGCATTTGAACCCTTACGCATTGGAACGCTGCTGCGGCCTACGTGAATGGCAGCGAACGTCAAGTGTTCCAGACCGTCTTTTGTGTCAGAAGTCTAGGACTTGGAACAGAGTTCCCGGGATCCCTTCGAAGATGTCCCTCCGGGGGGTGGGTTCAGAGACTTGATCAGCCAGTGAATAGTGTGGCCTTGTGATTCTCCCCCACTGTATGGTTGAAATAGAGGGAGTCCTGTGGAACCTGTGGCTTTCGTTTGTTCACAAGGCATGCCTAATCATTCGGCATCGATGCAAATCAATGCACGTGCCGCTGGCCGACAGTGGTGATGTCAACTGCCCTGGACCAAAAACTAACTGACCGATCCCGCCGTGCCTCCAACTATATACTCGCAGCAACATCCGCTTCATCATTTTTCTGCCAAGTGCTTTCGGTTGGGTATTCTTCTTGTCATGTCCATTTGATTCATCAATTGACTCATTTGACCAACCATTGGAGAATTTCCTTTTCCGCCTTTCGTGGAGCTGAGGATTTGTGGAGGTGTCTATGGTGTTTCTCTTACTGTGGTAGGCCTGCCTCAAACACAGGATGCTACATTTGAAGTGTTCTTTTTTCTTGTGTTGTCCAAACTGCTCAACAAACATGGCATCACAGCTGTTGATGCTACTGTTGCTATGCATTTATGAATGCTTCATCAGCATTTTGATGCTCTTTGATCACCGTACACACTACTCCAAACCGAACCCTTTGAAGATAAACTTATGTTGGTTCAATGGAACAGCTGGACTAGTCTCCATGTCAAGACTAGTCTCTTTCCTTGCGAGGAGCTCTGCGCAGTGTGCCGCAGTGCTTGACCCCCTACTCGACGCTGGGCGGAGGAAGCGCAGACGAGGAGGTGCAGGAGAAGAGGGGGTAGGTTAGGTGACAAGCAGATTTCGCCGGCTTTCTGCTTGATTGGATGGCAAGTCGTTTTAGTTTTCTGAGTTCCTGACACTGCTTCTCACCTGCCATCTTCTCCCAGTTCACAACATTCAGGCGCAGTGCTGTACCTCTGCCGTGAACGCCAGAGCCATGCTGTTTGTGGCAAGCTCTGCTGGCGACGCCTGGTGCTGCTGAAGTTCGAAGAGACGTTTTCTGGTGCTGCTAGGATCTACACTGATCCAGTTTTTGAAGTCGCTGGTGGGAACATCATGGGATATCGAACAACAAGAACAAGAGCTTCCATTGGTGGGATCTGGTGACTCTTCATTCCTTGGAATCTTCACTGAGCTCTTCTTTAGTGGGGTGCATGTTCTTACCGCGGGGTAGCTGGTTTTAGACCAACTTGTCTGCAGGACCCCAGCAAATCGCCAGACCCAGAGAACTCTCGATGTAAAGTACGTATTTTTAGGTGTTTTGACTGGTAGATCGTGTCAAGCGTTTTGGCCTGAGTCGTGAACAGAATGGTTGGTTGATTTCTTTGGCCATGATAACACATTGTATGATTCGGGTATTTCTGCTTTCCGTCTTTCTGCTGTGCCCGTTTGAAGATCAGAGTTGTTTCATCTGAGTAGGCAGCGCGTTTTTTTGTTTCCCTGTCACACCCCTTTCTTAACCACCAGGAGGGCCGTGCAAGACCTTCATGTACAGCGCCGGAAAGAGCTTCGTTGCCGAGTTTCTCTATGTTGCAGCCATTTGGAGCAGCCCAAAAATGGATTCTCAATCCTGTACGGGTTCAGGCCCCCAATTCGCTTTATCCAGCAAGATCGGAGGACGAGGAACTCAACCAATGCCTCATTTGAGCATTGAGCCCTTTGCCAGTCACGACTCTCACATGAGCCTTCGAGAATTGCCCGGGATGACGCCTTTTGTGGGAATTATCTCACATATTCCTCCAGTGGCCAGTCCCTCCATAATACCAAGGCCAAATGGATCCCCAAACACCCAAACACCGCCAGAGTGGCTGGTGCAATCATCGAAAGCCTTCCAATTTGAGCCATCATCTGAGCCATGTCCACCATTCATTGGATCCTTTGGGTGGTGTATTTACCGCTGCGGCTCTGTGGCGGCCTTCCGCGGATCACGGCCCTCCCAGCTTGATGGGTGGATGGGCAGAATGGGTAGAGGATTGATTGCTACTGCCACCAAAGTTTGGAGGTGTTTCGGAACTGAGATGGTTTCAAATCTTGTGCAAGTTCAGGCATTTGCCTTCAACTGTGGAGAGATTCCTTTGCCTCGAAAGCTACATTTCGATTTTGCAGAAGGAGTGGCACAAACACATTTTCTTTCCCAGGGTGCCATTGGAAACACTTCCATCTTCCTTCAACGAACGCTGCGCTATTTTGGCAGGTCGTGGGCTCCATCAATGTGGATGTGACGATGGAGGCTTGGTTTTCGCCGTTGAAAGTGGTTGTGGGAGACATGAGATCTTGGGTTTAGGTGCGAACGGGCTTCAGAGTGTAAACAGCCTAGCCCCCGCAAATCCAAGGAATCCAACATAGTGTCGCGGAAACATCTCAATCGAGCGAACACGCGACCAACGCGACCAACGCCGGCGGGAGGTGGCGCGCTTGCCCGAGAGGCACGAGACCTTGACAGCGTCCAAGCCAGCCGTGAAGCTGGCCTTGGGAGGCGCGGAAGGGGGCGCTGGGGGGGTGCATGTTTCGCATGCTTTGCCGAACGGCGGGACGCGGCGGTCGATGCTGCTTGCGGTCGAAGATTTGGATGCGCTGTCACTATTCACGGTCACTTGGAATGGTCACAGGGTTTTTGTTTCGATGTTGATAAACAAAAGAGTTCGGAGTGTTCTCTGTCATAGAGCAGCCCAAACTTCCAGCTTCAGGTTCCTGTGCAACAAAATAAAGAGATGACTCATTCATCGCAGCTCTCATGGCTCTCATGTCTCTCATGGCTCTCATCATCCATGTTTCAGGGACTCCTTCTGCTCCACTTCCACTTGACCGTCTTGACCCCTCGTCGGAGGCAAAGGCGCCAACCAGGCGGTCGCTGCCGCCCGCCTTGGCGCGGCGGTGCGCTTCGTCGGGCGAGTGGGCGCGGACGCCCACGGCGCCTGGTGCGCCCGTCCGGGGGGGTGTGTGCGCAGGGTGTCGTGGGTGTTCCAAGCTCGATCGGTCGGTGGAAAGGCTTGGTGAGAAGTCTGGATGATCTGTTTCCATAGTTCCGGATTGAAGCGCATTTTGGACACTCCGTCAGTTCACACTGTTCTTTTTCCCCGCGATAGGCGCTTGCCCGTAACCAGAGCGTGCGTCTGCAGTGATTGCGAATCATCAAGTGTCGTGCAATAACGCTGCTTGCGCACTTGCGCATGATAGTCAGGTCCCATAGCTGCCTCAAGGTTCCAGCCTTGGATCAACCAAGAAATAGATGCTAAGAGAGCCATCGTGCAACAGCGCAGACGACAGTTCTTCAGGGACTGACCGACCTGAAAAAATGAGGCAGCTTCCGATTGTTCGTTTTGGCGCGCCCAACTGCAGCAGCAATTCATCTCATGAGAAATCACGAAGCGGCATGACGTCTCCTGCCAGGATCAGGAACTCTGTGAGCGTTTTTGCGAGGCCAAACAGGTCCTCAGGAGGGGTGCTAGCCTGACCTGACACTTCACCCAAAGATGCACAACACCATTTTGGCCTTGATTGAGGCAAAAGGCGATGCATCCAAACCGCATGAAGTGACCATGGGGCTGCGCCAAGTTACGCCTGTCAACTCATCCAGTTCACACCAACATCGCTTTCCTTCATTTTCCCAATCCAATCACTGGCCGCCACCCTATAGCTGCCATAGCCCTTTGAGTGCATGAAGATGTCCAAGATCAACCCGTTGCAGGCTGCTGGATGTTTTGAACTCCAATGGTGTCGACACCAGCGGCTGCACTCGGTCCGAGACTTTGCCATCAGGGTACCTCTACTGCATTTCGCTGGGGAGTTGAAAAAGACGATGAGGAGACCTGGACGGAATGGCTTGGAATATTCTACCTCTTATGGTATGAGACTTCTGAATGAAGGAAGAAGACTCATGTTCCTTTTTTGCGAACATGCTGAGTTTTTCCTGGTGGACGATGGTTTGGATGATGAAAATATCTCCGCAACCACAGATCTGCATGCCTTGCCAAGGCTTCTGATCATTTTTGCAGGACCTGTCCCACCTGAAGATCATGTTACCAAGCAGTCTTCTATTGTCCATTTTGGCCGGTGCTTTCTATGGAATGACCCCATCTCCAGGGCCATGGGGTCATCGCGCGTCCACCGGCCACCGCGGCTATCCTCTGCCGTCTCAGGCAGGGCATGGTGATGCTGGACCCCGAGGGAGGAGCCTCTTCAGTGGTCGTGGGCGGTGCCAATGTGGATGCTTGGCGCACGGCGTTCGATGCGAAGGCGAAGAAACGCCGCGAATCCACGGCTTCGGTGTCCAATCTTCACAACACAAGGAGACACACTGTTCTGTCTTCAAGTCCTTGGACTACTAAGCAGGTGTAGCTGGGAAATCGGACCCGACCACAAACCATCATCATTTAAACCCGGGATAGTGGACATATTGCATACTTGACGTTTGAGAGGTAAAGTATAGCAAGCAGCCGCACGCGACCTCTCAGGCCACTTCTCAGCCCAAAGAGGCCATTTCATTCAAGTCGGGATTTCCTTCCCCTCTCCCCTGAAGTCAGCATTGCATGCGGGAAGGGATTGTTCATTGATTGCATTGCATGGTGGCTGAAGGTAAGTCTTTACACCCTCGGTCCCGACCTGGTCGGTCACTGTGACCGACCGCTCCTGGACCGTCGGGTCGCTCGCGGCGTGAAAGACCAGGACTGGGCCTCCTTCGACTTGAAGTCCTTGGACTCCCTGTTGGAAGGCGCATGGGCGCATGGAGGATGCGGAGGATGCGGCGGAGGGCGCGGCGGTGACGAAACGTCGGGCGAAACAGGGAGAGAAGACTTGGGGATGTCTTCACCTTAGGATTGGGTGGTTGATTTGGATGTAGAGGTTCTTAAACCAATGAAGAGCGTTGATGATGTTGGTGAATTAAACCATCAAAGCGTGTGGCTTTGATCAGAGGTCTTGGGTCCCTAGGACCCGTTTCTTCTTTTAGAGAACGAAGTTCATCACCGATCACAGACACTAGAAGACTAGAAGGCCCCATGGCCGTTTTCTTTTTCTGTGCCAAACCTACGCATCGATGTCTGAATCATCTCTTCACCAACAACTCGCCGCGATGGTCATCCTTCAGAACACCTCGGCAGCCTCTTTCATGTGATCGCCCATGCGCACGCTGTCCGCGCTGTCCGCGGGGCATGTGCCAGGGTCATCGGTGCTTCTTCTGCAGCAAGAGATTCCTGCGGAAATCAATCTCGCAGCTGCCCAGGCGACGACAGACCTGGCACACGCGAGAGTTGGGGTTTCCACCCCCATGAGGCAAACCACTCTTGTCGTGGGTGCCACACCGAGCTGAACAGGTAAGAGCTCTCTAAATGAAGCACTTGTGATGTTTCGAGTTGTAAACTTGTAAACTACCATTCATTGATCCCCCTTTGAACTGACTTTTGTACCGTGGACCTGCCAAGTTCGCTTCTCCGAAAGTGAAGAACGTCTTCCATCGATACTTCCTCGACACAAGTACCTCTTCTTCCCGAGGAACACTCACCTTCCGCCTTCCTTGCTGGGCATGCTTGGCCCAACCAACAAGATGTAGCCGGGATCATTTGTCAAAGGCTTGGAAAAGAATTGAAAGGAACATGAAAGCATCAGCATGTACGCCATGAGGCACCGTCACAGGCAAAAAGGGTCAAGAACCCCCTGGTTCACACCTCTCGCTAGCTTCTCCCGCTTGCCTTGTTAAGCCACCCTGAACCCTCAGCACGGTGTTTTCAGGCCTCGCGCGTACATCGTCCGAACCTCCCACGTCAGGTGGCGAAAGCCAAGGGCGTCATCGTAATGCACGACGTCGGTGGGGAGGAGCGCTTCGCTGAAGGCGGCTGAACGACGTCAGTTCGTCCCGCCAGCGGCCGAGCAAACAGTCTGTTCAACCGCCAGCGGCCGAGCTCCGTTCAACCCCCATGCGAGATCTACCTCTGCTTCCGAAGCCGCAGCCATCGGGCTCAGAAGGGGAGGAGACATGTCGTTGTTTCCGTGCTTGAAGGTGAAGAATGAGAAGTGGAAACTCTTCTCCTGGGTTGTGGTCATTGGATTGTATGCCTTTCCAACCCTCTTCTACGCGATGAGGATATTTGAAGTTTGGCGCACCAACGCAGCTTTGAGCACACATGAGAGACATTTTTGGGACACTCATGAATTCATTGGCTGCTCTAACCTGTTCTTTTTCATGGCGCGTAAGTCACCAGTCACGGTTCTTTTCAATCGGGGACCTGAGAGATGTTTTTTCGATCGCGTCTCCGTCGTTGTTTGAGGCTCCCCTGTTGCAGACCTCGCAGAGCGACGACTGGGGTCACGTCCCGGAGCTCTGGTTCTGCAGCGTGGAGCCTTTGAACATTGAGACCTGCGTGCTCCAATCCTTCCGGACGGTGGATGGATCTGAACCGAATGGTTCGAAGGGTGAGAGCCTTTGCCAGATCATTTCACCTCCAAAAAAGCATGAACAACAAAAGATCCAACTAGGCACAGGCAAGGGATTCGGGGATAAGCTTGATGAGCCAAAAGGGCAATTTGATATATTGCCTCCTCAGTTCAAAGATCAGTTCAAAGACTCCTACTGTCAAGCCATCAATGCCACAGCCTTGAAGCCAAGCTCACCCTCACGTCTATTTCTTGGCGGAGACGCCAGCAAGAGCTTTGGCCTTTACTATGTGATGCGTGACCATTGCGGAGACACTTGCCACCATCCCATTTTTCTCACACGCGCTTTCCCGGGCATCGCAGGGCTTTTGCTCACAAAAGTACGAAAGGGGTCGATGCAGTTGTCAGCGGATCCGTATGCCAATGCGACTAACCGATCTTTCGTCGATGCTTTGAAAGCATTCTTTTCTCCCCAGCTTTATGATGCCTTCAGCACCCAGCTGCTGTTTGTCAATGGCAAGGTCATTCCCCCGCAGGATGGTGAGATGCACCTTGAGCCTGCAGTGCAAGGCTTTCCAAAAACATCCTTAGTTTTCTATGTTGAAGTGAGTAGCGTATTGTTTCTATTTAATTCTTGTTTCTACTAGCAAACATTGTTACTACTAGCAAGGCACTTGTTCCTAGTAGCGATGCACTTGTTTCTGTTTTATTTTTCGCACCATTTGGTCGGATGGTCCGATTTGGGGGAAAAACACGGACTGGTCGGCCGTTCTCGCGCTAAGCCCAGGTATTGGAGCCAAGTCTTTCCGAAGGTGCCCACGCCCTCGGCATGGGAGCTGATTGTTCGGCTCCATCCGCATGTGAAGGAGGAAGTTCAGGTCGGACGGCTGGCGCAGTGCATCATTTTCCTCGCACGGCTGGGTGGGTATTTGCTCCTTGGCGCTTAAGGGGGGCGGTGTGAAAGTTCGGGGTGAAGTGCGGTGGCCTTAAAACGCCCTTCGAGGCCTTGTAGAGGATGTTGCAGAGATGATGGGTAAGGTCAACCAAGACAGCTTGCATGGGGTTTTCATCGATGTGATAAGGGTTTGTAACCAATTCTTTAGCCTATTGTCTGGAACTGGTGATTTCCATACGTTTTGAGTGACCTTGAATCCTGAATGGGACGCTGGCAAGCGAAGTGGTTGATCTTAGGCGCATCGCTCGTAACAATCATAGATAGATTTCGGAAGTGTTGAAATTATAAGAGGCAAGTGCCAAGGTTATTAAAGAACCTCTTCACTTTCTATCAAGGCTGGACAATGCAACACTTAAGGCTACAACCACCTGCAACTAACTCAAGTCACTCCAGCGATCTCAAGCTGAGGTCAATCGTGAGCGGATTGCTGGCCTTCTGCTGGGTGCAACGCTACAAGGTAGACAAGCAAACTCATCTTGCTCAGACTTTGGAGGAACTCTTGAACGAGGAGACCTTTGTGCTTGACACCTTGTCTCCGCAGCACAACGACCACTTCGAACCCCTCACGGGCGACCTCGTCAGCATCCAGTTGAAGAAGAAATTGGAAGCAGAGAGTCCTTGTCTGGCGAGCACGGCCATCCGAAATGACGTTTCTTCCTCCGGTGAAGATGGCGAGTCAGATTTGGAGAGTTCGCACGAGGCGGAGTCAGCTTGGTGGCGTTGGTGTAGAGCACAACGGGAAGACACAGCGGGATCGCTGGCCATGGGCCCAAAATAAGGAGACCCCACACGAAAAACATGCACCTGTGAAAGCAGGAGTATTGATCTTTCAGGGTTTCCATTTTGAGGGTTCGTGGTGCGACCAGCACGTTTCCCACAGTGCTCAGTTTGCCCAAGAGACTCAAGAGACTCGACAGGCTGCATAAGATAAGCTTCAACTTGCACATAATGAAAAGGATTCAAGGATTCTTGGACAGTCGTCAGTTGTTTCACAGTGTAAAAATTCAGAAAGAAGCCAGTTCGGCTTGCTCAAGATGTGATGCCGAATAAGGCATTTGAAACTCGCCGGTGGCGTACGTGAATGGCAGCGGAAGTCTGTTCCAGACCATCTTTGTCGAACCACCTGTGTCACAAGGACAAGATTGGGAACAGGGCTCCCTAGATTTCCCTCCTCAGTGTGGGTTTAAAGCATGTTTGAAGCATCATCCCTCCGTGGGGTGGGTTTACAACCCCCCCCAAATGAGCAACGCGGACCTCTGGAGAGCCCTGTGGAACGCGACGTGCTTGTCGCGTGGCTTTCGTTTGTTCACCCAGCATGCCGGCCATGTCGGAACACCCGACGCGCAAATCAGCGCATAGGCGCTGCAGCATCAGCGCATTTGTTGAAGAAAAGCGAGTCCCAAGAGCAATATGCTACGATATGCTACAATCCGAATCCTCCAAGAACACACTGCTTCTACCACACTGCTGCACTGCTTCATCTTCTTCGCACCCGGACGCCTCCTTGCGTCCCCATCCGCTCTCCGTGCCCGTGGTCGCCGGCGTCCCGGCGCCGCGACCGACTCTCCGCAGGAGCGGGAGATCTCCCAGGAGTTCTTGGAGCTCTTGGACTTCGTGTGCCCCAACGAGGGGGAGCTCCAGCGCTTAACGAAGCAACCCACCGGCACCAGGCAGCGATCGGAAGGAGGGTAGGACTGGGGTAGGACCGGGGTAGGACCGGGGTAGGAGGGCAGGGGGAACGGGACCTGATCAAGTGCAAAAATAGATCAAAGTAGTGATAGACGGCAGAGGTGGTAGAAGCTTTGGTGTGATGGATGGTACTTGCAGCAGTTTCTTCTTCTGTTCTTCTTGCCTCACCACATGAGCCGTCGTCGAAGTTCTGACGATCTTGTGCTGCTTACCGACCTTTCTTTCCAGTTTTTTCCTGGATTGGTTCCTCTTGATCAGTTGTCTGGCCACGACTTTGGCGACACGACTCATCTAGGCTTTGGGGTTCACTATGGCCCTCGACAGCCACACGCGTTCGTTGGATCCGTCAACACTTCGGCCAGGGAGGAGGTCCTCTCTGCCGCCTCGACGCTTTTCCGCCGCGTGTCCACCCCCCTCTCCGTGCTGGTGACGCTGGGCGCACGAGGGGCATTGCTGGTGAGCGAGGCGTGGCGGGAACGGACGAAGTGAAGCGGCGGCAAGGCAGATGTCGGACTAAAGGGCAAGGCATTATGCTATACATGTGACATCACCCTTTGTTTTTTGGTGTTTAACGGTATTTCAACACACAATAATACACACCTAGCTGGATTTCATGATGATAATAGGTCGTTCCCAAAATCGAGATCTCTGACTTAGATTTTCGATGATTTCTATGGCTCTTCACCAGAAACCAGCAAACAAAACAGTATGAATCATCCATCAAGTTATGATGTGTCAGAACTTTTTCGACCGCATGAACTAAAGTAGAGGAACTACTGTAGAGAAGTAGGGGAACAAACAAAAGATCTATGTTCAGACTATATCCCCTAGAAGTCCAAAGACTATATTTTGGCCCCACTGAAGTAAGTAAAGACCATCCCACCACGCACAATACCAAGGTGTTTAGCCCCGAACGTAGCGTCCTTGTTCCTAGTAGTAAGGCCAGGAGCCCCTAGTAACTAGTAGCATCCTAAGTTCGCATGCTTGGCATCTTTCACTGTTCGTTTTCCCTCAGAAACAAGTGCCTCGCTAGTAGTAACAGGTGTCTTACTAGTAGTAACAAGAAGCTATTAGAAACAAGAAGCTACTAGTA